CCCTTTATTTCGTTCACTTGGGTAAATTGTTCTAGTTCCACGTGCCACGTCTAACGGATATCAGTTATCAGATATCTCCTGTTTAATCTTTCTCCAAGTTCTCCACCGCCTTAACCAGGTATTGAACTCAGGTGGGTCTTGTCACTAGATCTAACTAACGCCTTTATCCACTGTGCCATGTGTTGACATTCCAACCACCTGAAGAAGACCAGAGCATGCTCCTGAAAAAATTATTTCGGTTGAGCTCTCTGGGGAGGAAGTGTGGGTTTGTAAACAGTGACTATTACGTCTAATAATGCAAGACTCTTCGGTAAATCGAATCGAGTTCTCTCAGTCACTGTGTTTATCTAAAAATAAATACGCTTAAATTCCCCTTCATCCCTGCCATGCACCAACGGCTTAGGGGTAGAATCCTCAACTGACACCAATTCAATCGGGTATCAATCCTAGCTAGAGGGAACCGGATGTCTAGCCACACTGATGAGCTGTGATACAGCAGAAACAGACTGTATGTTGATGACAATATATATATATATATATATATATATATATATATATATATATATATATATTTCCAACCCCAGATTTCCAACACTTACGTCCTCACGAATCGCTAACACAAACCCATTCACATTAACAAGGCGTCTACCAAAGGAGGAATGACATTGAAGATAAACTTAAAACACTGCTCCGAGACAGACACTTAGATGCCGATGATAGGCCTTGTACAGAACGGCTTGAACTGGACTATTTCTATGTTGAGGTAATTTTTTTTTTTGCTGTAAAAATACATATGCTATGTTAAAATAAAAATACCGAGCTCTCTGTGGATTAATTTTAATAATTAATATTACTAGGATCCACTCAGTTTATATACCAACGGATCGATTACTTGTACTATATATATATATATATATATATATATATATATATATATATATATATATATATATATATATATTTCTTACTACTCTAAATGCTGTTTTGTGTATAATTTAATAGAAATAAAGGTTGAAGTTTACTTTTTTCGAATGCCCAGTCTGGTAGACGTTGTTAAAAGACAATGCGTCTACTTAATAATGAGTGTCCAAAAATAGCGTTTGATGTCGTCGGAATACTGCCAGACAAAAATCCATTGCTTACTTATACACACACACACACACCCAAACACACACACACACACACATACGTACTCAGAGACACACTCACACACGTGTCTCATGTTAGTCATGGTTACACAAAAGAAGGCAACAGAAGGAGAAATCATTTTTATAAAAGGAGCGGTTTTCCTTTGCTAGCCTATTTTCGTGAAACGTGTTAATAAATTCATACTCGTGGTTTGTCAAAGATTTGCAAAAGCCACCAAAAGCAAGATACACTTGAAGACTGAAAAACATCGCATCACAATTTCAGCTGCTGGTAAATTTCAAACAACCACACTTGTCCATTCTGGCTTTTCGCAAAATGCAACATTGATGTAACTGAGTGGAATATATATATATATATATATATATATATATATATATATATATTTGGTTGGATAGATGTGAGTTTGTGACCCAGCGTTGCGCGCTTTAGCGATCGTCAGGCAAACTAATTAATTTTTAGAAAATTTGGGTTTATGTAGATTGCGTGTATTGGTGTTATTGTGGAAGTGGTGGGGGAAATTTCGTCGCTTATGTCATCGTACTAACGCAAACATCGATGTATGCAGACACATATACATACTTGGTCGTCCGTCGGGACTCATATATATAAACATATGTGGGCAGTTTCGGATATGACATATGCATGTATACGGGTGGTGTTGTGTCTATACATACGCATTTGTATGTTGAAATGTTGAAATTTAAAGATTGGAAGTGTGGCGGAAATGTATCGTGGATGTCTCGTGAATGTATACATGTCATATATATATATATATATATATATATATATATATATATATATATATATATATATATATATATATATATATATATATATAACATATGAAAGGCCACAGCCAGAATGGAGAAATGTGGTTTGCATGAAAATTATCAGCAGCTGAAATTGGGATGCGATCTATAACTTCATGATTGGACACCTTGGCTTGGTGTAATGGTTACCAAGCTTGTCTTGCTAAATTAATTACAACTGAAAAGTGAGTTCGATCCTTACTAGGTGCACCTATACTTTCGGCCTTGTGCCACATCTAAGCTACGCTTAGAAAATCAGTATAACATAATGATGTTATCGATGGTGCCGGTCTCTTCCCCCAGACAGCGTATAAATGACGGGCTGCCGGTCATCCAACTGTAAGTCAATGAGATTCCGTTTACTGTCGCACTATAGTAATCGCTGGACTTTGCTTGGAAGAAGAGAAAAGTCAGTGTCCACCATAAGCGGTGAAACACGCGCATGTCACAGGAGAGGGGAATTTCGCTGACGTCGGGTTTAATGGTGCGTGAGAATCCATTAAACTTTGACCTGCTACTGGGTTATGACGACATCAAAGCCTTAGGTGGTGTTCTCATCACGTAGACTGGAACAGTGAAGTTTCAGAAGGAGGCTCCCGTCTGTGCAGCACTCAAGATTGACCAAGCCAACTCTAGTATTGTATTTGACTAGCGTCAGAAGATCTGGACCGCCTCGTGGAAATGAACAGGACACCGGGAACCAGCTATGCTACAAAACCCTGTAGATGAATATTATGTGCCCGACCAAATAAGACCTACGTAGGAAAAGGAGCGCCACACATGGATTAAAGATGGCTGGTTGATTCCCTATCTTCATAGAAAACTTGGACCGTCTAAAGGTCTAATCCCTTTTGATGGCAATTGTGCAACCGAACAAGTCAAAAGTCAGGCCCATGTTGGATTTGAACCAATATATCGACGCATTCACGGTTGATCTGATGTTTGTGCCAACAATCTGCAGGAATGGCGACAGCATGGATCTAATGTCTCCTTGCTGGATTTGAGAAAGGCCTATTTGCAAGTCCGAGTTAGTGAGTCACTGTGCCCGTTTCAAACGGTGATGTTTGCTGGCAGAAGGTACTGCCTTAGCAGATTGGGCTTTGGATTGAACGTGGCACGGCAGATAATGAAGGCAGTTACCAGTGCTGTCTCGTCTCAAGATGAGGCAGTAAAAGAAAGGACGTCAGCGTACATCAATGACATTTACGTAACCGAAGACATCGTGTCATCACAAGAGTTTAATTGGCCCATTTTGGCTTAATCTGCAAGGACTAGAAGATGGCGGCCGTGTGTTGGGCTTAGATGTTCGAGGTGAGCAAGGAATCTTGCAACCGGTGTAGAGGGATGAAACAACCAATTTGAAATTACGTTCCAAAACAAAGTCGCTAATATCTTTTGACCACATCTTTCTATCAAAACGCTCTGTTCATATCTATCTATCTATCTATCTATCTATCTATCTATCTGTTTAGATGTATCTATCTAGCTATATGGTTTGTTTATATTTATCTATCTATTTATCTATCTATCAAAATGCTCTGTTCATATCTATCTATCTATCTATCTATCTATCTATCTATCTATCTATCTATCAAAATGCTCTGTTCATATCTATCTATCTATCTATCTATTTATTTAGTCTGTTCATTTATCTATCACATTCTGTTCATCTATCTATCTATCTATTTCGTCTGTTCATTATCTATCTATTTATTTCATCTGTCCATTATCTATCTATCTATCTATCTATCTATCTATCTATCTATCTATCACATTCGTTTCATCTATCTATCTATCTATCTATCTATCTATCTATCTTCATGTGTATGTACTGGCATTAATTTTCTACCTGAGTGAGATATATGATTTTATTTTTTCTCCTACTTTTTTGTTTACGTTACATGTGCTGTCTTCCTGCAAATATAGAAGAACCAGACTCGTTTGCCATAAACTTTCACCTGCACTGAAGCTTGAAACGTAAAAATAACTTTCTAAATAAAACAAATCGTTCCTCGTACCACCTCAAGAAATCTTTCGAAACCAGTGAAATGCCTAATGTATAGGGTGCGATGGATAAATTGTCGTCTAAATGACGCAAGAATGAAAATAAAAGTGACATCTCATTTTAACAGATATATTTACCAAAATTACGCAAACATATAGAGTACATTTATTTCCTATAATCGCCATTGGCATGAACCACAACCTCCAAGACGATTTCAGAATTTCCTTTCTCTCTTCTGGACGGTCTCTTTGTTTAAGTTGTTGAATGCTGCAATCAGTTCATCTTTGGTATTAAGCGTTTTGTTGGTCTCTCCCTAAACTGCGCCCCACACATAATAATCAAGAGAGTTGCAGTCTGGGGAGTTAGGTGGCCAGATGTAAAAGGTGATGTGGTCACAGAAATTGTCTGATTGTGTCATGTGTTGATATTCCAACCACCTGAAGAAAGCCGGACCATGCTCCTGAAAAATTTATTTCGGTTGTGCTCTCTTGGGAGGAAGTGTGAGTTTGTAAACAGTGACTATTACGGCTAATAATGCAAGACTCTTCGATAAATCGAATCGAGTTCTCCCAATCACTGTGTTTATCTAAAAATAAATACGCTTAAATTCAACTTCATCCCTGCCGTGCGCCAACGGCTTAGTGGTCGAATCCCCAACTGACAGCCATGACTAGGTTCTCCTGTTTGTGTGGCATGGTGCAGCGTCCTGTTGACAAACATAGAGTTTTCCAGCAGCCATCCTCTTGACCCAGGGCAGCATTACCCCCTCAAGACACTTGATGTACCCCTTGAGTATGACGCTCTCACCAACGAATTCAGGAGGTTTTTTTTCTCATCATAACGTTCAGATTGAGTTTTCCGAGCTGCCGTACCTTCGTAATCACCATTAGACTCATCCAGCTTTCTTAATTCTTTGTACTGCTCTCAAAATGACACACAGACACTCTAAAATATTTGTGCTAGAGCTTCCAGTGTGGATGCCAAGCAGTACAGCCTGCTGTTTCGAAATTTCTGGCAGAGTGAATCGCATCATGGTGCTTTTTCTCACAGACGCTAGCCAACTGATCCTACTTTGCTGTGCAGTCGAAAAAATCAATACAAACAACATGGATGCGTGAAATTAAAAATATAAAATGGCGATAATTTACCCACCGCGCCCTCTATCGACATTCGACCTATGCATCCGCTAAAAGCTTTTAGGAAAGCAGTATGACACAAGTTCATTTGACCTTCTTTGAGTCACACTGTATTATAAGACATATGATGTTTACGTGTTAATATTGTTGGAAGGTTTTCAAGTATTTCAATGGCTAATATTAAGACGATATAAAATTTGCTAAGCTTACCATATAAGGAAACCAGACCAAATGAACACAGAATGAAAAATCGAAGAGCCGAGTTCGAATTCTAGCTGAGTTCTTTACATTCACTTACGCGCAAATACACCGATGAAACCTTCTATTCTCCACCCCCATCTATGAGTAAATGGAAAAAACCCCCCAAAAACAAAAAACAAACAAAAAAACCATTCAAAATCTGGGCACTATAGCTTGGTTGGCAACCAGTCTAGGATAAGAAAATATTTGAATTCAAACAAGTAGGCAATGAGTTGGGCTCTGTTAGGTTATCTTGACTGCTACTGTACATTTGGTTCGCCTACGGGGCTTACGGAGCTCTAGACTCGCGATCGTGTTGCACGAGTCATCCAAGTCGGAGTCGGGTAAGCATTGTTAATTGGAGATTTTATCCGGGTTTGAATAACTCACTTCCTCACTCAAGCTCTGTGGACACTCGTGGGGTATGGGACCACACCTCTCAAGCCCCGTAGACACCCTGAGGAGTATGGTGCTTCAGCTCTCAAGTCCTGTAAACTCTCTGAGGAGTATGTGGCTTCAACTCTCAGAACGGTAGGCAATGTTGATGTATTTTCCATAGAAAATAGTAGGTTTTTACAGGTTGGAGTTGCTAGCCCCATACCCAACCGATTTTGAATTCAGAGTTGTCCTTCTTCTAGACTGGTTAAGAAACATGGCTAAAATCGCAGTCTATTTTAATGCTTAACCTGCAGGAATATCTCCATCGAAAATTGGTAGACTTTGCATTCATCATAAACAAAAATCATCTAATACAGAATCACTAAAAGTCACTGTAAATTGTTTTCAAGACAAATATATTGTCAATAGCTGTACACCAGCCTGTACTGTACATCGTTTTAATTGTACATATTTAGAGAACTTTGTTTTCTCTCCAATAGAGAAGCAATAGAGGTTACCCAATAAAAAACTGAGTCAATTGTCAATGCCCGAGGGAATGACGTGATAAGTATAGCTTTCTGACAGTGGCTTGCGGTTAATGACTAATATATCGATATTTTATTTACTTTCTGTATAGAAAATTATAGGCTGTAGTGATTTCTGCAGCCAGATCGAAGCCAGAATTGTGTTCTTCTGATCTGGACACTGAGTCTGAAGCAAACGAATGGACAACGGAGATAAAATTCCACTTTTTATGAGAGAAAAAAAATAATGAAGGAGGGGACGATTTATTACAGTCAAATAAAGTTGTCTTTTGCATTTTTCGGTATTTTCTAATAATGTTTCTATTCTCTTTTTAAAGATATTTTAACAAGAACTCTAGCTTTTTTTTTAGTGCCTACTATAGAATATTTTAGTTACTGATTGAATCATCTATATTTTCCAATATCCTTTTATCTTCACCGAGTGTAACAGCAAAATTGTCCAAATCGTGTAACAGCAAAATTGTCCAAGTGTTAGATTAAGCATTGAAACGTTGTATCTTAGAAATGATTAAAGATATATTACAGGAATACTCCGAGTTTTTCCTAACACTATTGGACTCTACTTTGAACAATGAAAATGTATTTAGCTCTAAGTTGAAATGATGATCCATCTTGATGCTGTGACATCCTGGTAGAATTTTCCTCTCTACTGTTCCGTCGTTTTTAAAATTATTCATCTTTCTCTTAATGGTTCTTGGACTTTGAAGCTGGAAGCCAGAATATGAATGTTGGTACCATTATTGGAGGGCAGAATGATCATTTTGTTCTCACCATTGCTCAGTCGGGAAGACATAATGGGGCTGACAACAAAGGTTTTTAATCTCTTCTCTTTCTAGCTGAATAGTTCAAAGGGGTTTTCAGTGGTTCTTATGAAAAAGTCAAAATGTCTAAACGTCTTCTCTGAAAACATGGGAAGAAGAAACCAAATTAACTTGTTTTTTTTTTGTTTTTTTAGATATTAAACATTTTGTGGGAAGGAAAATTATCGCATGCTGTTATACTATTTTGAAAATTTTGCTGTTACACCCTACACACACACACACACACACACACATATATATATATATATATATATATATATATATATATATAAATGTATATATATAAGACTATCTATGCTGTCGCTCGCGTTCGCTGATT